ACACACATATATATATATATATAGAGAGAGAGAGAGGTTTATATCATAGTGTTTTACCTTGTATGAATTTGACAGTTCTGACTTAATGCATCTGAGTCTTTTACAGGGTTTCCTGGAGAAAAAAGATGTTGTAGAGTTTGGTTGAATAATTCAGAAAGCCTTGTAATTAAGAAAAGTTGAAGAAGTTAAATAATGAAAAAGAAAGAAAAGGAGATGTGTGAACTCAAAAGTGTGTTGAGAATAGAAGAAGACTTACAGATTGTGTTGCACTGAGCTTATTTAAGAAAATCAGTTTCTGCAGAGGATGAAAGTTGGTAGTTTGAAGAGTATGGTTCTTTCAAACACACAGTTGAAGATGTAAATCAGATTTTAGGAGAAGAAAGAGAGTGTTGGTGTCGTTCTACGAGGAATAAATAAAGATGAATATATGGTTAGTTGCATGTGACTCCTTCTCATTTGTTGTTCTTCTGATATAGAAAAGTTGTGTTGTTGACTTTCGAAACATATTGCAAGTTGTTTTATAAATTTAGAAACATATTACAAAAATAAACATAAAAAACGAAAAAGGCTTCTTTCTGAGAAAGAGAGAACGTTCCAACTTTGTTTATGTAAATTCTTAATTATTAACTTCGTCTTCATGCTATTTTAATTAATACTTAAAATTTAATATTTTATTCTTCCTAACCACAATTAGGTGGCAATAGCTGTAGACGCAATTATTGTATTTGTATTCTTTGAATCTATTGGCCATCTCTATTTATTATCACTACATTCAGACGTATTTGGACAAGTATATATTATACAAAGTGCTACCGACAAAAATAGTAGGTCATATATATCCCTTTACATTTCCACCACTTTCTTTTATTAATATCGTGCCAAGCATCATCAAAGAGACTTGGACTCATTTGAATCATCACCTTGTTGAAAGAATAAAAAAATATATTTAATTTATGAAATAATAAAAAAATATATTCAATTTATCAAACAATAAAAAAGTGTGTACCATACGAACCGGGCAGTCCCGAGAGCAGCACCGGCATCAATCTAACCACTTGGTGTTTTTTCAATCGTTTTTACTCCTCTGATAGCATTATCGGACAACTTGCATAAACACTAATTGCGCGACGTTCTACTCGACCGTTCATCCTTCCACTCGGGTGAGTAATAACTATGTACCATACGGACCGGACGGTCCAGAGAGCAATGTCGACACCAATCATACCGGACGGTTGTACATGATCGGCCGATAGGAGAACTGAATCATTAAGACTAGGATTAAGGTAAATAGTGATTAGTGTCATTGGGCTAGAATTGGATTGTGATTAACTTTTCACTAATCCTAAGCCCCTGATGAAAACTATAAATACAGGTCAAAAGTAAGTGGTAGAAGTGTTGCATTTACTTTGGCATCGGAGGATCTTTGACATGTTCCCTCCCGGATGTAAGAGTGAGACAATGTAGCTTGGAGCGAGATTGGACGACAAGAAGACAAATTATGGAGGAGTTTGGTGACTCAGCCCCAATAATCGAAACAAAGTATAAGAACTATTTCCATTATATATAACCCAAAACCGTCTATATACTTCAACCTTAAATAATAAAACAAAAACAGTTTAATAGCAATTATTTCTCCTGCCAAGCACCAAAAATCATCAATATATAACCCAAAACAACCTTGTTTCGATTATTTGGGACTAAGTTACCAAATGCCTCCACAATTTATACTCTTGTCTTCTTGTCGTCTGGTTATGCTCCAAGCCCTATTGTCCACTCCTACCGTCCGGGGGGAACCTGTCAAAGATTCTCTGATGCCAAAGTAAGTACGAAAACTGTTGGCGATTTAATGAGACAGTAATGAATGCGTAGTAAATGCAACCTTCCTACCTCTCACCTCTGACCTCTATTTATAGTTTTTGCTATGGGCTTGGGATTAGTAAAAAGTTAATCACAGCCCAAATCCAGCCCAATAGCTCTAATCCTAATTTACCTTAATCTTCATTTTAACGACTAGGTTTACCGTGCGTCCAAGCATGAGCGACCGTCCCTATGGTAACCCGGCCTTGCTTACCAAGCGGACGGTCTTGATGCGCAGCTTGTGAGGTGAACTTGCCAACGAACATCCATCCTCCAAAGTTGCTGGTAGTAAGAGGCGGGCGAAATACCGGTGAACTTCCCAACGAACATCCATCCTCCTATGTCGGCCAATCCATTCGGTACATAAGTCCCCCAAGCCCTAGTGCACGTAGTGAACGTTGGGTTTGAGGCCGGATGGAATGCTGATCGTGGGTACGTGAGGCGTCTGTCCCTCAATTATTGGGCTTTGACGATTTACGGATTCTTTTTGGGCCGAATTTATTGGGTTTTCGCTTACCGATATTCGTGATTTGGTTTGGGCGGGAAAACACGTGTCGTTTGTCGAGAGGCGGAAGTTAAAGCAGTTTTGCATCTGAACTGTTGATCCAAACTAGGCTTTAGTCCCCGAGCCATGATGGTGATCTGGGAAGCTTCCTTCCCTATCAAGATTGGCTGCGTCTCCCCGAGGGGCTCCAGCCGATCATCCGTATTCGTCCTTGGGTCAAGGTCGGCCATAGCCACCTCTGAACCACCCGTCCTTCTTTTCACCACGTGGGTGTGAAGCTTCAAACCCGCGGCATAACATTCCTTAGCCGTCTTTTGGTCTGCTCGAAAGATACAGATCGTACCTTTGTCCGAGGGATACTTCATCGTGAGGTGGGGGGTTGATACAATTGCTCCAAAGGCGTTCAGACACGGACGACCTAGTAGTATGTTGTAGGAAGTGTTAGCCTCCACCAGTAAGTATCTTACCCTATTTTCCTCGCTGCTCCGACCGGTTCCCAGCCTTGTACGCAAATTTACATATCCCCTGGTGTCGACCTTCTCTCCTACGAATCCCACAATTTGTTTGTTGTATGGGAGGATCAGGTATTCTTATATGTCCATTTGCTCGAAGGTTTTCCAATAGAGGATGTTCACCGAACTCCCTTGATCCACCAGTACCTTGCTTACGCCGTACCGGGCGATTTCCGCCGTTATCACCATTGGATCGCCTTGATCGGGATCAGGGGTGTGGAAGTCTTCATTTGAGAACGTAATGGGGGCATCGTCTGTCGGGGCTTGTCCACCAAGTGAACAAATTGTAACGCTCGAACAATGTGCTTCCGGGCGGATGAAGAAGATCCCCCGCCAGTGAAACCGCCAGATATTGTATTGATGTGTCCCGTAGAGGACGGTCGTGGCTCCTACTGCGACTCCTGCTTCGTCGCCTTTCCGACCGGGAACGGTCGGCCTGATTGCTTCTGATCCTTCCATGCCTCTCGGGTTTCCTAGGGTTGGTTCGTCTTGGACTGGGACGGTCTGTGGACGTGTGGGGACGGTCAACCCACACATACTTTTTCAATTGCCTTGCACGGATTAGTTCCTCAATTTTTTCTTTCAGGGTTACACATTCTTCCGTAGTGTGGCCCACGTTCTTGTGGTACACGCAATGTTTATTTCCATCCGCCCCTGGTGGAGTGGGTTGCTTCTTAGGATTCGGGATCAGTTCCGCGCTTAACGCTTCCTGGAAAATCTTCTCCCGAGGGGCGTTCAAAGGGGTGTGTTGTTGGAATTTGGGTCCCCAGGGCGGTTCTCTCTATTTGAACCCTTTAGGCTTCCTACCCTGACCGCCCGACTTTCCCTCATCCGTCCTCTCTCCATTGTTTTCCTGGCTCTCTTTCTTATACGATAGCTTCATCTCTTCTACCGTTATCTCGTCCGTCGCCCTCTCCCGTAGTTCTTCCATGGTTTTGGGGGCCCGTCGACAGACATTGTCTTTAAACGATCCAGGTTTAAGGGCGGGAAGGATGTAATGTAGGGACAGTTCCGGGATTAAGCCCTTCACTCATCGTACGGTCTTCTGATAGTGATCCATGAACGCTCTCAACGTTTCTTCCTTTCCTAGCTTTAAGGTGACCAACTCAAAGACGGTCAGGTCCTGAGTATTGCTGTTGGACACAATTCGGTTTAACAGACACTGTAGGTCGACAAAGTTCTCAATGGAATTGGGAGGGAGTGAATTAAACCACTCAAGCGCCTCCCCTTCCAACGATAATGAGAACGCTCGGCACCAAATGGCGTCGTTGCCCGTCTGAAACGCCATCGCGTTCGAGAAGTTTTTGATGTGGGCCTTCGAGTCCGTAGTCCCATTGTATATTTTGAATTAAGGTGGGAAGAACTGTTCCAATATTTGGACGTCCATGTTGGCTTGCACGAAGGGGAGTAATAGCGTTGACGAGGACTCGGTCTTCACTACCAACTGCTTGTCCCTCGCACCACTCTCTGCTTGCACAAACTTAGCCTTACTACCTTCGACCTCCGGCTCTGTGGGTCTCCACATTTTGTCCGACTCACTACTATGTTCTGTCTGGTCCTCCATGGTGGCCTTGCCTCTCTCCTTGATCTTCTCTTGTTCTCCCCTTTCTCCCACGCCTTCTCGGGCAAGGCGCGCCGAACACTCGGCTCTGACGGCTACTAGCTCCTCGTGGTCACCATTGGGTTTTGCAAGTAACTCAGCCCCACGGTGGGCGCCAAAATGCTTCGGTTATTTGGGACTAAGTTACCAAATGCCTCCACAATTTGTACTCTTGTCTTCTTGCCGTCCGGTTATGCTCCAAGCCCTGTTGTCCACTCTTACCATCCAGAACCTGTCAAAGATGCTCCGATGCCAAAGTTAGTACGAAAATTGTTGGCGATTTAATGAGACAGTAATGAATGCGTAGAAATGCAACTTGCCTACCTTTCACCTCTATTTATAGTTTTTTCTATGGACTTGGGATTAGTGAAAAGTAGGGGTGGGCAAATCAAACTAAACTGCACTGCACTACTAAAAACTGTATTGAACTAAAAACTAGTTCAGAAAAACTAAATTGCACTAAAAAATAGTTCAGAAAAACTGAACTGAATTGCTTTTGTTTTATTAAACTGTACTGAACTGAACTATACTTAACTGTACTAAACTACACTATAAACTGAACTAAACTACTAACTATACTAATTTTGAACTGAATTATACTAATTTTAACCAAGAACTGCACTAACTATACAACACTAACAACTATAGCACTAACTATTAAAATTGTATTAATAAAACTGCACTTCATCCTGTAAATTAAACATGAGAAGAGCATCATTAATAAAAATCAAAGAGCATATCATAAATCAACAGATTCATTTTTCGAGGTCCATTTCTCGAATCTACAGATTCATTAAATAAACCATCTGAACCAGACTACAGAGAAAATAAATACAGCTTTCCAATGCAGAAGAAAAAGAAGTACCAAAGCTTCAGCTTCATCAATTCCAGTCTTTATTTCAGAAACTTTTTGTTTCTTTTGCTCTGAAAATAAA